GTTAACGATCGTTATTTTAAGCCCCTTATAAATTAGAATAAAGACGCTTGTACTGAAATTCGTAAATCAACACGCGGCTATTGTTGCTCAAGTCTGTTTTTCAAGGATAATATTCCACTGAAAAAAATGTACGATAATTTTTAAGTCTCAAGAAATATCAAAAGAATTGATTGCTTGTTACAATATTTGCGATTCCAAACAAATATTTTCGTCTGACATTTTTCCTGTCACGAGTTGCTTAAACCCTCGCCGTACAATGTCAAGTTTAACAATTATGAGGCAATTATTTGTCATCAAGTCTTATATGTTCAACACATTTTTACATTCACGAGGTATTCGTAAAACAAATAAATAATCTAAACAAAATTAAATAGTATACGTTTGAAAAATTACATTAAATCGTACGTCAAGGGGTTATAAAGTGCTCGAGTTAGGCCACCTTTTGTATCATTTTCTACAAATGATTCTAAACTGTACCGTGAACTTGGGAAGGTTAAGAACCACTGCCACGGAGAGGAAGAAGAAATACTGTCTCGTGGCGTCGTTTAACTGTGGAACCGGAGCAGCAGGAAACTATTTCCGGCGTTGTAAGCAGCGACGCTCGGTAATAAACGACGTTTCCCGGTGATCCTAAGGCGCGTGGAAGCGCGGGACGTCTTCGTCGCGAGCGCGAACCCCGGGTATACGCGGCGCGGGTAAACTGGTACCGATAAAGCGAGAACTGTAGCCGCGTAAAGATAAGGTGCGCGAGATAAGGTAACTCCGCGATTTAAACACTCCCGCTGCCGTTGGCACGGATCTCCTCGTAGACGGGAACTTAACGCCACGCCTCATTTACATTTTCATCGGTGGCTCTTTAACGATTCGCGATAAAGCCACGTTGCTCAATGACTCCCCATCTTTCTCGCTTGCATTTTTCGATAATGTCTTCGCGAGGCGTCGGGTTCTACCGTATACCCCCGAGGGACCGAGTTTAGATCCAATAGAATATATGACATTCGAATAGGAAACGGTAAACAGGTTGCCCTATCTTCCAGCTCTATTGAAAATTGCATCTAATAAGCGATTTTACACTTGAACTTCTCTATGATAATATGCAATTTTTTTATGCTTATACATATTTGGTGAATGCATTCGGTAGCACAATCTAGCTCGATAGAAACCATCTTTCAGTGTCATTCTCAAGGTACCATTTCACGACGTTCGATCTGAAATATTGACGCCTTCTTTCGAACGAGCACAACTAAAAATTGTATTCTGTTTATTTCATCTCTTGTTTATTGCGAGTAGGTGACATTTATGACTTTGCAAGTGGACGTCATTATAGGCTGCGTCTCGCTTCGTGCCATAAATTTCACTAGGAATTTAAATGGTCATGCTCTGTTAACGGAGTTAAAATACAAACGTTAACTTTCGACCAATAAAATATATTTGATCTATATTCCACTCGTTTAAAAAACCTTGATTATAATATTGTAACATCACGAACTTTGTATACAGAAAATACATAGCTTCTCAATAACATTAATTAAATTTCTAGTGAAAAGAGAAAGGTTCGTTCGACGTACACAGAAAACTCTGTTTTTGAAAACACAACGGTTTGATAAATTCTGTTTTCCTTATTTTCTAAACTACAGATTAGCCACCCTTGGGGATCGAGAGGCCCTAGTTGCACACGTCTATATGATCCTGCGATCTTAAAAAACCTTGATTGTAATATTGTAACATTACGGAACTCAACATACAGAAAATACATAGCTCCTTAATAACGTTAATTAAGTTTTTTGTGAAAAGAGAAAGGTTCGTTCGACGTAAACAGAGACCTCTGTTTTTGAAAGCACAACGATTTGATAAATTCTGTTTTCCTTAATTTCTAAACGATTCGTTCGAATTGTACCCTCCAGATTAGCCACCCTTGGGGATCTAGAGGCCCTAGTTGCACGCGCCTATGTAATCCTGCGATCCTGCGAGCTGTTCGCCGGGCGTCGCGGGCGTAAAAAATCGTAACGATAGCCTCGTACGTTCTGCGTCGTTTATCCGTTGGGATTATAGAGTATCCGCGGTATCTGTGGACCGCTTTCCTTATATGCTCGCTTTTCCTCCTCGTTCGCCGTCTCCTTCTCGCGTCCTTTTTTCTTTCCTCGTTCCCCGCGCTCTCCTTCCTCATTTCCCTCGGTTTTTAGCTCTTTTTTCACCCCGGCTGGCTCCGTGCCTCAGACGCTTGTACACACCTACACGTGGCTATCCCGCGTATCGGGCTTATGCTAATGTATATGCATTCCAACATGCCCGGACTCGGGCATATAATTAATGATACCTTGTTCTCGCGGGGACTTCTTTTTATAGGCGGCTTTAGAAAATTATTCCTACATTGTTCGCGACCTCGTTCGTTACCGCGTTCCCGTGTCGAATATTACCAACGATCGGACCCCTAATAAGAATGTCATTCCGCTCGTTGGGCAACGTAAGCCTGAAATTGATCGCGTGTCGCGCTCCAACTTGCTCGAGCATGTAATAAGGTTCTGGATTCGACGGCTCCGTCGATTGTCCGGATGATCTTCCCTATAAATTTCTTCCCCAAGAAGCATAACTCTACGTAGCAAAATTCTACATAGAGTGGTAGATCGGTGCTCAGTGGTACCAAGGCTAAAAGCTTATATAACCGCCTGGTGTGAATGGACGCGATCCACCCCTTGGCCCCGTCACTGCCGGGGAGGTTATTGGACTCTGTATAACTGGCGTTTTCTTTGTTATCGAGAGAGGAACGGGTTTGGAGAGACCCACTTGACCCTAGCCTCGCGGCGACTGCGTGGAAGTTTGCTCTTGGGTGCTTTTTACCGTCGAAAGCTAGCACAACTCCCCCGGGGGCATGACAGTGGACACCAGGCATTATGAAAGTCCGCACAAAAGAAGCTAATACCCGGAGAGCGATTCTCCGGAACGCGACTACGGGCGACACGCTGCGTTCGAGCGCGTTTATCAGCGACGATGGCAAAATCCCGCTGATAGTGCAGAAATCTTAGCCAACCGACGCGAAGGATAAACGCGTGGAATTCGATGACCTCGCGAGTTCCAGCGTCATTGTAACGATAGGCTCGAGTTTCATTGCGCACGGGTAACCCAAAGCCGTATTTTATAGGTATTTTGATAACTGTCCGCGTCGAGCTATAAAACTGCGCACGTTTTAAAGCCGTTTCGGGACGACCGGTGTTTTTATGCGACGACAACGCGTTTACCACGGGATTATCGCGAACGACATCGTAGGTGGGAAACCAATCGCGTGGTCGAGTCGAAAGCATGTACAGGTGATTTTCGAGAACGCCACAGTTTATATCAATTCTTCTGGTTGAACGTAGAAATTTGTAATCTTAAACAATAATTTGTATTTATTATGTATCTATATTGCAATGGGGGAAAAATGATTTAAAAGTATAATAGAGTGAAGGGTGTGTTAAAATAATACATTTTTTATTATAAAATTGCAGCTCAGGTAAAAGGTTGTCGAATATCAGACGTAAAAGTCAACAAATATAATTTCTAAGACGTTAATAAATATGTAGTTAATTGCTTGTAACACCTGATAAAGTGTTAATATTCCATATCCACCAAGAAAGTATAAAAATTGTATTCTATACATTAATTAGTAAATTTAAAGTGAAAACAGATATGTTACAAAGGAAGTATTCACAAAATGACTGCATCATGACTAATTCTAAGTGGCTGTAAAACACATTTTTGCATACAGTAATTCCATCTATGTTAAATGCAATAAATTTGAATTTCTCGGTAGATCTTTTGTAACGAAATATTGAAACCGACGAGGACCGCGAGGAGTTAAGAATCGATCGTGCTGTTACGCCAATGCGCTTTGGAACTTACGGGCATTAGCATACGCTTGGTATGCGAGGTAGTAATGCGTAGGTGTATATAGACACGGGTTACTCGAAACACAAAAATGGCAAAGGTGGCGAGGAATGGAAAAAGGGAAACGAAAACCGGAGGAAACGGTGACGAATGCTCGCGTAAAAACGCTTCGACACCGAGCGATCCACGTATCCAACCGCTCGCGTGTTCCTATTATGTGGCAGGCTCCGGGAGCTGGTTTTATTCGCGTCTCGCGGCAAGAGGCACAACGACGACAGCTAACAATACTTAGTAGCACGTAGAAGCACGTAAGTGCATGGAAACGCGTAGTAACGCCGCTGGAACTCGAATAGCTTCTATAAGGAACGCGGTAAAGCAACGCCGATAAAGCGGGAACCGTGGTTGCGTAAAGATAAAGCAGCCGATATGCTTCTCGATTTAAACGTACCGACGTACCCGACGCGAGCATTCGTCCGCGCGAGAACTTAACGCCATGTCCAATTTGCATTATCATCGGCTTCCCCTAACGATCCGAGATACAACCGCCTTGGCATAACAATTCCGTTTATTGCGGGGCCCCGTTTATGTCTGTATGTCGCACATCAGATCCTTGGGCGACTACAAGGGTTCGCGAGCCGCTGGGTGATTCATTCGAACGATATACTTTCTTACGAGTAGCAACACCCAAATGCACGTTTTATAATCGACTACTGCACAGCGATAATAATATATGCTCGAAATGATGAAACTATTGCTGTATGATAATATAGTTCACCAGTTGAGAAAGCTTTAAAGGGTTTATTCCTTTTATTGTTAAATTTTAAACTATAAAAACTTTGTTATAGTATTGGGGATTATATTTTATTATATTGCTGGGGAGTTATATTTGTTTAGCATTGGAAATAAAAACCATGAAGCAGACACCTGGAATCGAACCCAGGTCATTGAGATTCGTAGTTGAATACTTTACCACTGCAGCCACGACCTCCCCCACTGTGAGTTGCATTTAGAAACGCAATAATGCAATTTATAGAATGCTTTGGAGTTTTTTCTTCCCCTAATATTTAAAAATGGCTACCTCCTATAGTAACCTCAGGGTTTTCAGCTTTAAATTGAAGTTGCAATGTAGGACTTACCGAGGCAGGTGATCGCATGGTCGGCTGGCGGTCGTAGGACGTTTCGAGCCCAGGCTGCCCTCAAGACCTCGAGGGCACAGGGTGGTCCACCGACCATCAGCACGCCAGGTGACACGTGACCCTTGTACCTGAGTTGTCGAGTCGCGTCCACCAAGGCTGCGTTCCACCAGCACTTAGAGTTCGCCTCCAAGAAGCTCTGAAACAAACAAATTCACCAACCAATTATTTCAACGAATATCTTCTAAGTTTGTTACAAATATTAGGGTTGCACGTGACCTGGGTCTCGTCAATATGGGACTTCAGAATTACTGCAAATGTACCAGAGGCAATTTATTAATTCATGAAGGGTTATTAGCGATGTTTGCTAAGATTAGACCCGAATATTTCCACCCAAAATTTGTCGAATTTTCAATCAGACAGTTTTCATCGAACCTATCGAGCATTCTACTACAGAGACTAGAACAAGAACCTAATAACCAGTATAAATTGGACAAATACTTCAACAGCAACTTTACTTATCTCGTTTGTTGCTCGTACGAGGTGGTTCGAGTTATTTGTCGGCGCGCAATGCGCTATATCCATAAAGCCTGAATGATTAAATCAACCACGGACAAAGCAGCATGCCCTATCTTTCTTTCTCGCGTTGTGGTAACATATGGACGTCGAGCATAACTGCCATGAATTGTCGGCTACAACGTAACACCGATACGTCTTCCATTATCGGGATGACGGTCGTAGACGAGATAGAATCTTGGGATTCATCCTCTAAAATACGGCTAAGCCGCTAAGTGTTTACTGCCGCGGGGGCTGCTAGGCGTCTCGCCCTTCTCGTAACTTTCAGCGAAACTGTGCCACCCTCACAGTCTTCCTCAATCCCCGTCTAGTTACGACCCGTTTATATACAACGTGTTCCATAACAGGTGATACAAGAATAACGAACGAGGTTTATAGAAACATTTATTTCCTCAGTCTTAGCACGAAAGATTAAGGAAGCAATGGTGTCGAGCCACAAAAAATAAAGAAATATACAAGACAGGTTGAAAATGAAATTGTCTACTTCAAGAGGAGAGACTCCAATTTTTTAAGGAATTAACTTTTGATACTTTCTTTTAACCGTTTCGTTGGCTACCAGAAGATCAGCAAAGGCAGATTAGATGTTTGCTTCGGCTCCTGAGAAATTCAGCGCCTGACTACGTGCAGTCACGAATTAATTCGCAAGGCGAGAGGTTAATGGGAGATTAACAAGTCAATCTCATGTAAATTTCTTGAGCAGTCAATTGCATTGGGTTGGCCCATAAGTTCGTACGATTTTCATTTTATATTGAATGTAACAGGACATTTACGTATAGCTTCAAGGCTGACTCCCACTATGGGTGACATCAGTGTATATTCATTGTGGTATTTACAAAAGAATATTTATCGACACTAGATCTTCCAGGAGCACAAGAATGTCTATAATTTGAAAACAAGGTCAATTTTTCATTGCTCTTTTTTCGATTTACCATTGACAGAAGAACCACGTGTATGGAGCACCCTGTATATCGACAAGCCGCAATGGGGACCGAATAAGCCAGACAGTGCTCGTAAACGAATGGCCCCGTAGGATTTTCACCGACTATTTCCCCGAACCAACCCCCTTTTCTTTCGTCCACGATGGCGTCGTTCTCTTTACTGCCGCCTCGTTCCCTCCGCTTCACCGTAAACCGTGAAATTAGAGAGAAGTGTCCAAATCGATCGACCGATACGATCCACCGTGATTTATCGCGGCCTTTGTGCAGACGGAACAGTGCATTATGCTTTTGTCCCTTTCATGATGTCCGTCTCTACTCGAGATAAGAGAAGGAGTCACGTGCGACCCGTAAATAATACAATTTCGTACGCCAGTCGGAGGGTTTACTGGAATCGGGAATTAATCGTTCCCGGTGTACACAAAGGTGTGTAAAATGTTTATGTAATCCGATAGAAAGTTGATCTCTCCTTACGCAATGTATTATAAGAAAGAGACAAGGACTCGATTCGGAAATTTTACTGATAATTGTGCTTGGTCTTTTTACTTACCGATCCATTAGAGAGAAAAGAATCGTGATCAATTTCTGTCAAGGAAACATGACTTTTAACGCTTGGTCGTGAGCTCACGTAAAATTATATGTAATTGATTTCTGTTATCCTATTATGAGATGAAATTTCACTGTCACTATTACCTTCGACGACTGTTCTTTATACGTTATAATACGTTCAAATGACGACGATCTAAATTTTAACAAGGCCCAGAATACGACTTGACATTTGAAGGTCTCACGAAATATTGTCGATAAATGGATCTTCTGAGTCTTGTTCGATTTGTTATTGCTTCAACGTAAACACAAGTATCGAAGGAGTGGGATCCAAACAGACCTGGGCGCGTTAAGATCCTTCCATCGTGTTTATTGCTCTGTTAATTTACAAAATGTTGTGATTCTCCTATCTTAATACACTATACAAGTAGCACGCTTCGACCATTCTACCGGAGGCATGTCTCTTCGATAAAAAATTTTTTAATAACTTAAAACACTTTTATCGTAGCATATATTCTTTTTTCCTTTCCCCATAAATGCTAATTAAAGTGTCGAGGATATCTCGAGATTCGTTAATTCCAGATAGCGAACCGTACACTTTCAGCGCGTACACATATGTCTCGAGCCTCGTTTAAAATTTTATTGCCACCAACTTAATTACATACACAACATTTCTAGCAAGAAGCATTATCGCGAATCCTGTACGTTCCCTTTGGCATTTTGTCTATTTATTTAACAGGCGTTATACAATCCACTAGCGGTACTTTGACATCGTTAGTATCCTCTTCGAAATGCCAACCGATCTTTTAAAACCGTTTAATTTCAAACGGACGTTTCACCGTATCCGTTATTATCGATTATCTCGCGACCAATTTGGCACAGAGAGTTCCACAATTTTTCCTTCTGCTTCTACGTTCTCTGTTCGCGTATTAAACGCGAAGTTCGCCGAAGGACCCTCGCCATGCTCTGCCTCGCTGCACCTGACAGGACATTTTTCACCTCGAGCCCCGATCGAATACGCTCGACGCCGATCCTCCCACAGGCGTCGCGAATAATTCCACCGTGTATCGACCGTAATGGCTCTTGTGCTCACCAACTGTGACTCTTTCCCGAACGGCACAGAATTTTAAACGAGAGCCACAGGAGTCAAACTTTTATTACCTCGGAGTTCGAAAATGACACAAAGAACTTCAGAATAAATTAAATTCAACGTACAAAATTCTTTGGGTATGAATTTTGATTCTGGATTTATTTTTAACAAAGGGGTATTTATAATTCGATTTCATTTGAAACACCAAATTCGTGATCTAGTATATTTTTATTATGTTCCTATGCATTTTCCTTTCGATTTCGATTTCATTCCATTTCGCGGTTTTTGTGCCTAAAAATAGCCACGATGCAGAAAGTGTTCTCGTAATCGGCGTCCCGTTAACCGCAGGAAGCGTCGAGTTTAAGCTCGCGACAGGAACCGAAAGCAGCGATTACATTCAGCCGCGAAATCGCTTTCTTCCGATCGCAACGTGCGCACCAGAGCAAAAAAAATTAGGTTTCGCCAGATCGGAGGATGTCTCGAAAAGAGATCGGGAAAAGAACGTGTCTCGCGAAATCGATTCTTGGCTCGTTCACTGCCGGGGCCAAACCCCTCAAATTATCCAGGAAAACAAAACTTTGATTTTGGACAATTGGAAAATAGTCACAATTTGTCATAGAACTTATTTTTACAGCTACAAAACTCGAGAGTGCTATATGGATTTATTTTCTTTAACATCTAATCTCGAGAATTCATTTTTGTTAGCTTTTCAGTGAATAGCCATGTTACCCATTTATTGAAATAATAGATAACCAGCAAGACCAACTATAAGGCTATAAGATATTCCAGCAGTTAATCTAGGTATAGAAAAATTTATTAACCCTTTGCTATACAATAATGAGTCTGACTCGTGACAAGTTCTTGATGTCAAGTTTCACTATCATGAGGCTACTCATTGGTTATCAAGACTTAAAATTTAAACAAAATTAAATACTATACGTTAGAAAAATTACATTAAATCGTACGTTAAGGGGTTAAAGGAAGCAATTCTGGAGGTATAATCATTCAAAAATTTATGAAAACATAATCCGTGTTTAGTCTAAATTGTATTATTGAACACTCATAGTCGGTTATTGCCAAAAAAAATTAACGTTGAACCGATAATAAGGCAACGTAAATTTATAATATATAAAAATTTGTTCTGACGTCAAGCAAGCTTGAAAGATTGGGTCCAAAGTGACCCAGCCTCGACATCCAATTGTTAAAATTGGAACAAGATGCATCTTACGCAATCGAGAGAGTCTCAAGTATCGAAAACTACGGTTTAGCAATCTCGTATTACTGTCCCTCGGGGGTTGTCGAACGTTGCACTCCGGCCAGAGAATCGCAAGATCCTTGTTCATCCTTGGGTACGCCTTGACACGGATAAATCCGTTAAATCATCGCGTTAAGTAACGCCTTAATGAAAGGTGAAATGCTCCAGCTCCGTTGATTTCGTAACGCGATGGTGATCGGCGAGGAAGCGTTGTCGTCGTCGATCATCGGGCGTGACTTTTCTCTATTTTCCCCGATCGGATCGGGGCACAGAGGCCCCGAGAGACCGTATCGAGGCGGGGAATCTGCGACAGGAGCCGCGTAAATCGTAGATAAGAGTTCCGCGTAACGATAGGAACGAGCGTCTTTGCGTTTCACCGATTGAAAATCGTTTTACAGCGCCCGTAACCGCTAACGGGGCGGGTTTTGCTTCCGAACGATGAAACATTCCCGTCAAATTATAATCTCCGATCGAACTGGAGCACCCGGCTCTCGTTTTGTGCCTGTGCAGTCGACCAGCGAGAAATTCCCCCAGCGGAATCGAGACGATCACTGGACCAAGGAGCTCCGACGTATTTTAAAATATCGTCGAACGTTGCAAAGGATAACTGCTTCCTCGACTGCGTTGTATGTGCTCTCGTAAGTCGAGTATGGAGACTCTTTTGCAAAAATATTCCCCGTTTTCGCGAGGAATGCAGGAAGCGATCCACTCGACAGCTTGCCAAGTCGAGGATTCGGAAATAAAAATTCGATAAATTATAAGCGATAGAAAAGAAGTGGTCAAATAATTTTATTAAC